AAAGACAGAGTCAAAGTAAGTGGATGGGAAACAACATGCCAAAGGGAATGGTTAGTCCTGATGTGTCAACTACCCTGGATGCAGAACCAGTCTGCCGCTGAGTGGAGCAAGCTCTGGTGTCCTGGACCAGGCAAGAGTGTGTGGCCTTGAGTTCCTATGCTCGGCTCTTTCCAGTACTCTCTGCTGCTGTCACCCTGCACTACGCTGTGAAGACTTGTTCTACTGCCCTTCTGCCACGGGGCTCTGGACTGGATTCTGCGGAATCATAAGCTAAATTAAACTTTTCCTCCTGTAAACTGTGAGTGCTGGGTATTGTGTACAGCAGTTTGAAAGCAAACACACCATATTAGCCCTAATGGAAACAAAGCAGCCATAATTCCATTACCTTCAGACAGAGCAGACCTCAAACAAGGAAGTTATCACAAATAAAGGAAGCATTACCTAATGACAAAAGAACAATTCTACAAGAATACAGGACCCTTAACATGGATAAATAACAAGAAAGCATAAAACTACAAGAGGCAAAGAGTGATAGAAGTGCAAAGGCAGAAGGATGCTAGCAGTATCACAATGAATCCACGCGCTGGAGATCAAGGAGGCAGAGCTGAATTCAACACCAACAGCCCCTCATTACCCTTCAACAATCCCAGATGGGTTCACCAGCTAATTTTAATAACTTTCTGGAAGAAATGCTACCAGTCCCTGCAAAATATTTTAAAGCATAGAGACAGAGACAGAGGGAACACTTTCTTACTCATCCTATGAGGCTATTGTTACCCTGATGAAAAAATCAGACAAGAACATCAGAAGAGGAAGAGAAAATACAGACTAGTATCTCTCACGAATACAGAAACAAAAATCCTTTAAAAAATTAGCAAAATAAACACAGTAATATATGAAAATTATTGAAAGTCACGGCCAAATGGATTTATCTCAGATGGGCAAGGCTTGCTCAGTATCTGAAAGTAATGCAACCTGGCCATCAGCATGTTAAGAACAACCACATGATCATACCAATAGATAAAGCAAAGGGTCCCACAAAATCCAATGTCCCTTATGATAAAAACTCTCAGTACCCTAGGAACAGAGATGACCTTTCTGAACTTTATAAAAAATCTCCAAAAAACTACACAGCTCACATAATACTTGATGGTGAGAAAATTGAATCCTTTTCACTAGGATCAGGAAAAGTTAAAAATGTCTCTTCTTCCCACTTCTTTTCAGCATTGTAATGGAAATCTTAGCAATGCAATAAGACAAGAAAATAAAAAGGTACAGATCAGAAAGAAAGATAAAACTCTCTTTGAAGATTAAATGAACATCTAGCTTAAAAAAACAAGTTATTTTTTACATTTCTGGAAAAAAATAAATGATTTTTAGTAAGGATATAAGATACAAGGTTAATATACAAAATCTAACCACTTTTCTTTACACCAACAATGAACGATTGGATACCAAAGCAAAAACAAAAGGCCTTTTACATTAGCATCCTCTCAAAAATTACTTAGGGAAAAAACCTAACAAATTATGTCCAGTATTTATCCAAAAGCAATAAAAATTGAATGCACAAAAAGGAGAAATCCTAGCCTTTGTTTGTTTGCTTTGTCTTTTAACAAAAGGGTGCTAGAACATCAGAGAATCCACATCCAGCCAAACAAGTAAAAGCAAAAAGGACACTAGGAACAAATATTACACTGTTCAAAACAGCAAATGGCACACTTATGAGATGGTCAAAATCGGGAAAATTCATAATATCAAATACTAACAAAGATATCGGTCTGTCATTCTTTGCTGGTAGAAGTGAAAAATCAGATAGCCATATTAGAAGATAGTTTAGCAGTTTCTTGAAAATTTAAACATACTCCTACCTTTTGATCCAACAATCAAATTTCTTCTTCTTTGCTTTTCACCCAAAGGAGCTGGAAACTTATATTCACATAAAAATCTTTCTACAAATATTTACAAAAACTTTATTCAAGATATCAGTCTTATGTCTGAGGAACAGCTGGCAAAATTTTTTTTCCCACTCTATAGGATGTCTTTTCACTCTGTTGGTGGTTTTTCTTGCTGTACAGAAGCTTTTTAATGAGATGAGATTCCAGTTGTTGATTCTTTGTGATGGTTCCCATGGAGGGTTTTGGGCAAAAATACTTCTGAGATGTCCAACAGTAGGATAATAAGTGAACAATGATGCTTCAGGAATTGCAGGCATTTGAAGTTTTAAAAATTAATTTTATTGGAACAATCATCATTGGAAATTTGCACCTTTACATAATCTCTCTTGGTCCTTATTTTTCCCCCTTCCCCTGCCCTCCCTTCAATCCCTCCAGTCCTCCCTATTTACAAAGACTTTGTTTCCATTTTTTCATTTTCTAATATTAATTCCATTCCCTTTTTTCCTTTCCCCTACCCATCCCAATTCCCCTTCCCCTTTGTCCCTTTTCTTCCCATTTCACATTACCTATTACACCTTTTAGTCCTTATTTACACTTTCAGGTTCTCACACCAGAGAAACTATTTGGTATTTAGACTTGTGTGTCCTATTTATTTCACTCAAGAGTATTGCCTCCATGTGCATCCACTTAGCTATAAATGTCTCTAATTTCTCATTTTTTATGGCTGAGTAGTACTCCATTTTATTTAAAAAACCACATT